ACAAAGGGTTGGTTTCTTGACCCTATTAACACTTCTCTTGGAGCCTTATTACAATTTAAAGAATTGATTGTGCACCAGTGTATGTGCTATTAGGGGTAGTTGTTAACAATTTTGAAGGACTAATAAAAGGTATTTATATCACATGTTAGTTTGACTTTGTGTCTTTGTATATACCCATTGGTTTATATGGATCAGATAATTGCTTCTTGCAGGCTAGCACAGAGGATGTTGTAAAAGACATGGTTACACAGACATCTGGCTTCACCCCTCAAAATTTGCAAGCCTTAATTATCATTACTATTGCTAACGTAGTCCCTAGGGAATGATTTTCAAGTTAGACAAAGCTGAATCCATGGAGTCAAATGATTCTCTAAGTTAAAGCAATGTAGACTAATGATCTATGTAAAGCTACATCTTAGATTATGAGGTGTAATTGCACCAAACCAGAAGTCTTTCTTCAGTCTGCGTCTGTACTCTGGAACGACTTGCAAAGCCCTGAGGTGGAACTTGGGGTAGACACTCCGATGCTTAAGTTAGCAATAATCGGGGCTACCTTTAGAGCGGAGATAAAAAGAGCTTAGGGTTGGTTTCAATTACCTTTTGACGTGGCCCGTGGGGGGTATTTATAGGATCCAATGAGGAACCCACGTGGCATGCCAAGCAAGATATTCGGGATCTGATGTGTATCTTCAGACGGTTATTCCGGGATCGGGAATTTGAGAGGTATTCAGGTGCACGGATGCTTACCATACCTGCTGTGCAGCTCATCATAAGGAATCAGATGCGGGCATGCTTATTGTCATTGTCATGCAGCTATTCGAGCGGGAAGCTTTGGATTTATCCTTTACTTCGGTCATAAATGGATTACTGTAGCAGTATGAAGCTTGGCACCTCGGACCAGATAAGTCATGGAAGTAAAAGAAAGAAATAAAATATGTAACTCAAATGCACACATTGCCGTAACTAATAATGAAGTATGTAATAGTGGGTCATACTGGGGGTGCCTTAAATAGAATATGATCGGAGCGATCATGGCCGTGGCCGTAGTAAAAGATGATGACTGGAGTCATGGTGGCCGGAGCCGTGATGGAAAATGATGACCGGAGTCATAATGGCTGGAGTCGAGGTAAAGTATGTAACATGTAGTCACAGTAACCAGAACTGAAGTAAAGCATGTGTCTCTGTGGCCGGAGCCGAAGTGAAATGTGTGACAGTAGGTCACTATGGCCGAAATCGATGTGAAATGCAATACAGGATTATTGTGGCCGGAGCCGAAGTGAGACACTTGCAAAATTAAAAATGTGTAAAAGTGAACGACGGTGTCAAAATGGGTTTAAGTGGGCCCGTCTGAGAAGTCTGACAAAGGAGTGGGGCGCGGTGTGACAGTTGTCCTTTGAACGACGTGAGCAATAAATGCAGCCGTAAAAAGATAACTGCAACAGTTAAACGGGCAGATTTAAAACGAACCGTCGAGTTCAAAACGGTGCCGTTTGGGGCTGGCTGTCAAATTCCAAACGGTGCCAATAGGAATCGTAAGATTAAACGAATCCTAGCCGTTGAGATCTAATTTTGCCCAGAGGTATAAATAGGCATTTTTTCTGCAGAAAGAGGTTTACTTGCATTTCTTTTTCTGCAAAACTTTTGCGAAAAGCTTTACTGCGTGTTTCCTGCACGTGAACTTCTGCATTATTTGGGGATTTCTTCATCAAGCTTTCGAAACTGAAATCAGGTAATGTATACGAACCTCCGATTTTGGTTTAGTCGAAGTGTCTCTCTCCTTTCTCCATTTCTATGGTTGATTTAGAGTCCTTTGAAGGAAGTTAGGGTTAGAAGTGAGAAGGATTTTGAATGTGCAACAGAGGGGTTTTTTTTTTTTTTTTAAAGGGGCCTGACTTATTCCTCCCCCTACTTCGTGCAGAGTTTGAGAAAATGTCTTCAAAAGAAACAGTAAGCATAGTAGGGAGTGAGGTGATGCCCCTAGACTATGGGAGTATGGACTCGGAGAGTAGTCCATCTCCATCTAGTTCGGAGAAAATGGTGGAGGGGGTGAGAGGAGATGAGGTGGTGGAGGTTGGGGGGAATAGCATACCCATCACCGTCGTAGAAGTAAAGGGTAGGAGAGAGAGAGAGGTTATGATGTGAATGCAGACATAGTGGAAGAGGTGAAGCAGTACAGGTCTGAACTCAGGACTAGGGATAGCTTGGGTCACTTAGTGGAAAATTACGAGATCTCTTCTCGAGTGTTAGTTAGGCCAGCTTGGGTAGAGGAGAGGGCGTGTTCTGCACCTCGGGATCATTGGATGCCTGTGTACGCCAACTATTTGATATCGGGGCTTAGGTTTCCAATTCCTGAGTTGCTAGTAGGTTTGCTGTTAGATTATAACATAGGGTTGACACAATTAGTCCCCAACACTATGAGGGTAATAATAGGATTTTTAGTCTATTGCCGAGCTTAGGGGATTAATGTGCCAACTGTAAATATGTTTAAGTACTTTTTTGTTTTAAAGGGGGGTAGTAGGAGGGATAAGGGGTGGTATTATTTCACCCCTAAGGTAGCGAGTAAGGAGAGTAGATCTTTATTTACTGTGGGTCCTTCATCCATTAAAGGATGGAAGGAAAAATTCTTTTTTGTAGATGATATGGAGTGGGAGAGAGGGGATATCGAGGTGAGGGAGTTAGCATCCTGGAAGGCGAAAAGAGCCAACCAGAATAGGTTTAGTTTAAATGAGGATGAGGAGGAGGAAGTGAGAAAGTTGGAGAGAAAGGGGGGGATTTACTGAACATTATGGACCTCACCAGCGCGCAATGCATAGAAGCTGCTGAGCTCTATGGGCCAAGCGCTTTAAGTGAAGGTTGGTTTAATTTTATATCGTAGTACTGAATGTAGAATATAGAACTGTGTGATTAATATTGTGTTTTCTTGCTTTGCAGCTGAAATGGATAAATTTTTAAACACTGTTGAAGGAGCGGCCATCCCCAAGAAGCCAAGGAAGAAGTCGAAGACTTCAACCAAGCAAGTGGATGAAGGGAGGGCTGGGAAGAAGGTGGTGCCCACTACTTCAGCTGATGCGGAGGAGGAGGTGCCACAATTGAAGAGGAAGGGTTGGGAGGAGAGGAGGGCACTACAGAAGAAGCAGAAGGTGGTGGATGAGGAGGAGAGGGGGAGCGAGGTTCCCTAGTTCGTACCTCAACCTTCTCTTGTCGAGTTGGACCCCGAGCTCAGACAGGTGGAGGAGGGAGCTGAGGTACGAGCTCCTGGTAAGGGAAAGGGCCTTGTTCCCCTGATGGCGTTTCAGAGCAGCCTGTTCGAGGCGAAGAACATGACGGGAGCTAGGTGGTTCATCAACACCACCTTCCCCAAAGTGGACAAACGCAACGCGTGGGATGAGGCTTTGAGGTATTGTGGGGCTTCAGTGGTGAAGCACGTGTTAGAGGTATGTGAAGTTATTTGCGGTTATTTGTGCTATTTGTTTAATCTTTTACTTCTTCTCTTCTTTGTCTCTTAACTTCTGCTTTGATTTGCAGAGCGCGAGCTGGGTGAATGGTCTAGCCCAAGAGTTCATGAATAGCGTGAAGGAGCGCTCCCTTTTGCAGAGGCAGTGTGACCAGCTGCAGAAAGAGAAGGATGAGCTAGAGAAGAAGAATAAAGACCTACAAGAGGCGCTGAACGAGGTGGTTCCAACTGTGAAACAACTAGAGCAGGAGAGGGTTTCCCTGAGCACCAAGCTTGTCTTTGAGGAGAGCAAACGAAGAATCTCTAAAAGTGAGCGTGAGGCTCAGGCGAAAGAAATAGGGCTGATGAAGGATGCGTTCGTGGAGCTGAAGGAGAATGTGCAGAAGTTGGTGCACAATGGGATGAAGGAGCACATCAACAACTTCATCAGCTCTTGCTCGTTTGACAACATCGTCAATTTGTACCGGCTGTCCACTGCCATCATTGCCTTCACGGACTGCAGAAAGAAGGTGAAGGCTGAATATCTCGAAGTGGATATTACAAAGATCACCTTCGGCAGAGCAAGAAGAAGGAGTGGAGGAGGACGGTGAGAGCATGTCAGCAGACTTCTGTCCTCAGATCAAACTGAGGTGGGAGCATGATGCGGACAGACGTGCTATTTTCCCTCCACAATTCGACTTCGAGTTCATTGCAATGGAGGACGAAGGGGCAGAGGTAGAGGAAGATGAAGTGGAGGCAAGAGTGGGAGGGACTGAAATGGATGAGAGCCAACCAGTTCAAGAAGTGGAAATTCATCCAGTTCCTTCTGACGATGAGCAGCCTCCTCTTCCAGATGAGCAGCAGCTAGTACAGCCACCTCTTCCGGCTGAGCAGGAGCCAGTTGAGCCACCTCTTCCAGCAGAGGAATAATTTTTGTTTGTTATTTGTTATTTCACGTTTTTATTGTAATAACAGTAAAACAATCTGTTGTAAAATTTTCTCCTTTGAATGAAAATTCAGTTTTGAAATTATATGTTGTGTTTGCTTTATACTTTTGTTATTTTTATTAATAAAAGAACTAAGATTACTCAAGATATGCTTCGAAAGGAGATTAATCATTTCAAAGATGAAAAGAAGTTAATCACTTCGGAAAGGAACTAAAGAGAGGTAAGATACTTCAAATGAATTAAGAATAAGTACATCACTTTAAATGAATCAAAAGGAAAGAAAGCACTTCATATGTGAAGTGACATTTATTAATAGAAGTGAGGTTCAAGGGATAAATGAACCGATTGACCTCAGGTACATAGAATAAGAGATAACAATCACGAAGTAAAAAGCGTAAAGAATTAGTAAGACATATATTACTTGAAAGAATTCTATTATGGGTAAAATTTCTTCAAGTTATTGATATTCTAGACTCTAGGGACTCTCCTCCCTTCAGCATCTTGGAGGATATAGGCACCAGGATATGGTACTTCAGCCACTATATAAGGGCCTTCCCAGTTTGGGGCCAGTTTGCCAAAACGAGTTTCAAACCTTGTTAGGCCAGCCTTTCTGAGAACAAGGTCTCCTAGTTTGAATGTTTGAGGACGGACTCATTTATTGTAGAAGTCGGCTAATTTCTGCTTGTATACAAGAGTTCGAAGCCGAGCTTCTTCTCTGACCTCAGCAAGCAGATCAAGGTTTTCCCGAAGCAGTTGTCCATTTCGCCTTTCATCGAAATGGGTGACCCAAAAGCTTGGGACTCCTATTTCAACAGGAATGACTACTTCGGTACCAAAGGCCAGGTGGTAGGGTGTTTCACCTATTTCATGTAATTATATGCTTTAGAATATGCTTTATATATTATGCATATTTGATCTATGGTAGAATTTTAGGTGAAAGGGGGGGATAGAATGAAAATAACATGAAAGGAACTTGGGTTGGAAATAGTACCTGTGGTAGTTCGGCTCGTTGTTCTGTATGCCCAGAGGACGTTGTTGAGCTCGTCTGCCCACTTGGCCTTGTGCGGCTCCAACCTCGGCTTTATTCCTTCTAGAATGCATTTATTAACAGACTCTACCATACCATTGGACTCCGGATGGTAAACCGAGGTGAACTGCAACTTAATCCTGTAGCTGGAGCAAAAATCTTGGAAAGAAGTGCAGTTTAATTGTGTTCCATTATCAACCACAATCTGATTCGGGATCCCATATCTGCAGATGATCGAACTGAAAAAAAAGTCTTCGACCTTCTTGGATGTAAGACTGGATAATGGCCGAGCTTCAACCCATTTTGTGAAATAATCCACGCCAATGATCAGATGGGTTACACCACCAACCCCTTTCACGAATGGGCCTAGAAGATCCAGCCCCCCACTAAGCAAATGGCCATGGTGCTACCAAGTTCGTGAGCTCCTCTGCTGGTTGGTGAGTCAGATGTGCAAAGAATTGGCACTTCGAGCATCTCTGAACAAAGTGAGTGGCATCCTTATACATGTTTGGCCAGTAATATCCTTACCTTAAAACTTTGTGAGCCAGAGTTCTAGCACCAACGTGGCTCCCGCAGACACCTTCATGTACCTCCCGAAGTGCATATTCGGCTTCATAAGGATTCAAACATCGTAGAAGAGGGAGTGAAAGAGATCTCTTATAGAGGACCCCATTAACGAGTGTATACCGAGATGCTTTCTTTCTCAACTTCATTGCCTCCTGCATGTCCTCAGGTACTATTCCATCTCGTAAAAAGGAAATAATTGAGTCAGTCCAACTCGGCGTGTCCAGATTTGTGCTGATCTCCATTATCCGTGGCTTCACAAAGATTGGTTTATCTAAAACCTCCACAAAAACTGATCTGGAACTTGAGGAGCTATCAGACGCGAATTTTGAGAGTGAATCTGCCTGTTCATTCTCAGTTCGTGGAATTTTTCTCAGACAGAATTTCTAGAATTTGCACTTCAGCTCAGCCACCAGGGCTACATATTTCACCATCACAGGATCAACGACTTCATAGATCGAGTTGGTTTGGTTCACCACCAACTGGGAGTCACTGTATACTTGGATTGCGCTGATTTTCAACTCCAATGCTAGCTGTAGACCAAGCAGCAGAGCTTCATACTAAGCCATGTTGTTTGTTGCATCGAAGTTAAATTTCAGGGCATGTTCATTTTGGTATCCATCTGGGCCAATCAAGAGAGCACCATGTCACGGGACGAGACTCTAGCTAGTCACCGTGCGGCACCTAGCTCGGAATTAACCCCGTTAAACCCGAACCAAGTCAGCCTTCCCAACACTGGCGTGGCCCTCTTGCTGGGCTTGAGGTTAGCAACCGAAACAC